GGTAGCAGGAGGGGAAGAATGAAGGGGGGGAAATCGGGAGGGGTAGACAAACCATGAGAGACGATGGACTCTGAAAAACAAACTAAGGGTTCTAGAGGCGAGAGGGGTGGGAGGATAGGTTAGCCTGGTGATGGGTATTGAGGAGGGCACATTCTGCCATGGAGCACTGGGTGTTATGCACAAACAAGGAATCATGGAACACTACATCTAAAAGTAATGATGTAATGTATAGGGATTAACATAAGAATAAAAAAATTAAAAAAAAATAAAAATAAAAAAATAAAACCAAGGGTCAGATGTTCAACTGACTGAGCCCCTTAGGTGCCCCTTAGTTTTAATTTCTAGTATAGAAAATATTGATAGATTATGTTCTATATAAGCAAACGCTCTATAAGGTCTTCAATAATCTTTGAGAGTATAAAGGATCTTGAAATAAAAATGTGAACTGAAAAAAAAAAAAAATGGAATACTGAAAACATTCAAACAATCCAAAAGACTGCAGGAAGGAGGAAACAGAAAAAAAACATAAACAAAGAGAACAAGTAAGTTATATGTTAAACCTAAATCCAAACATAATGACATTAAATGTAAATGGTCTAAACATACCAATTAAAGACAGAAATTCTGAGAACACATAAAAATGCATGACCCAACTATATGCTATCTACAAAAAATGCACTTCAAATATTTTTATATAGTTAAAAGTAAAAACATGAAAAACAACATACCATGAAACACTAATCAAAAGAAAGCTAGAGTGGCTATATTAATACCAAAGTAGACATCAGGGCAAAGAAAATCACAAGGGATGAAAAGTGAAAAGGGACTATACATAATGCTTTAAGGGTCAATTCACCACGAAGACACAACAATACCGAATGCACATGCACTTACTAGCAGAGTTTCAGAATACATGAAGCAAACACCACTTTTACACAACCTTTTCTAGAAATAGGACACACTGTATGATTCTATTTAGATGTCATTCTTGAAAAGAGAAACTATAGCGACAGAGAATAGACTGGTGGTTGCTAGGGACTGGGTGAGGGAGAGTAGGAATATAAAGAAATACCACTAGGGAATTTGGGGGGTGATAAACTATCCTGTACCCTGTGTTGGTGGTTACATGAATCTACAAATATGTTAAAACTCATAGGACTGCACACCAAATAAAAACAATTTTGAGTAGATGAAATTTCACCTTATGGAAATTTTTACAATAAAATTAATTAAAGCACAGGAAGAAAAAAAAAAGAAAGCAGGCACTGAAATCAGACCCACTTGAATTTGAAACCTGTTCTGCAGTAGTTGGGCAACACCTTTGGGCAGGTTAATCTTCTTCCACCTTGGTTTCTTCACTTGTGAAGAAATGAGAATGACGGTATATCTACCTCCCAGTCCTATTGGGAGCACTACTAAGAAATTAGTAAACCTTTCTTATTTTCGTTAGCCTGTTGCCTGATAGTAAGTGGACTATAAATATGACCTATTACACTTTATCCCATAATCATTGTTTTTCAAGATTCATTTCTGTTAGAGTAATTCCATCACTCATTTTTTCCATGATGGTGAACAAACACAGAGGGGTGGAAAATTTTCAAGACTCTAAGATACTTTTGATGGCTGATTTTGCCTTTCATACGTGATCTCTGGCACAGTATTTAACCCACAGTACATGCCTTAGGTAACTAGTGCTTCAATTCCTGACACTAAAAAACTGGTCTAATTATAGTTTCACTCAGGTATAAGCTCTTTCGAAAATTAGAAAACAGATACAAAAGTCTTAGTCTAGAAAACAAAATGCTGATATTACACATTATCTTTTATTCCAGTGAATTCTAAGAACTGTAATTATTTTGATATCTGATGTTGGATGGACAACCATTAGAGGGTTTCTAATGTATGATCAGCAAAGTAGTGCTTTATGATTCTCCTAGGATGCTTTTTAAAACTGAGGAGGCCTACTACTGAGTCAGAATTTCTGGGGGTCAGCAATTTTACTTTTTAATAATCCCCCCAAGTGACTTTTATGCACACCAAAGTATGAGATCCCTGACATTACAGATTAAAATAAGCAGCTATTAGCTAGGATTTGATTTTTTTATAAGCTTTATAGAGACATTTTTGTAATGTATTTCATCTATATAATCACTCCTTCTCATTACACAACACGATTTGCAGGATAAAGGAAAACAGAATCAGTTACTTTAGATCACATTATTTACTAAGCAACTTCCTGGAAATCTGCCTACAGCATTGCAACATTACTTGTATCACAGTTAGTCAAGACCAGAGGTACTGACCCAACTAGTTGTTCATGACCCAGCCACTGACACTGTTCTTTCCCAACACATGAAGCTTTCCTCAGTTTTCTCTTTCTTCCCAGTTTGATTCTCCTTTCTCATTTCCCTCCCTCTGCCCCCAATTCCTTTTTTAACGTAGAAAAGTAATTCAGTGATTGGGTACATTGGGTAAAAACACTGGACAACTCTAAAAATATGTCTAAATCCACTGATGTAAAAACGTATGTATTTTTATCAAGATATGCCAAGCTATGTTAAGTGAAAAACAAAAACAAGGTTCAAAAGAGTATGTACAGTCTGCTGTATTTAATAAAGGAGAAAAAAGTCATATTCATTATTTACCTAAAGACACTTTGGAAGGACAAATAAAGTGGCTACCAGGGAAGGAGCAGGATGTGACCTAAGGAGAGGGGGAACTGGAAGCATGGGGGTGGAGTGAGAGCAAGCACTGTCCTTATAGATCTTTTATATCATTTTGATACCTGAATCATGGAAATACACTATTACCTAAAATATTTCCATTTAAAAGGAAAAAAAAAACAGCCTTTGATGTACAGAAAATCCAACTTCTGTGTATTTTTTGCTGTATCTACTCTATCCTGCTTCCCCTTGACCTTAAGGGAATTGTGCCTTTTTCAGTTTCTTCAGCATCTTTCTTGTGTTTGTTTATGCAAAGAGGCAAATGTTTATATTATTTCCTACTTTCTTATGCAAATTTAAGATAGTATACACACATTACTTTGCACACTTTTTCACTTCATAATATATTGGTGATTGTCCCTCACATAATATATTGGTGATTTGTCCCCTAGCTGTATAGTAATACATTATGTAGATATTTAGGTCACAGCTGATGCATACTTGAGTCATTTCCAATTACTAGCTGTGCCCAAATGTTGTCAAGAATAATCTTGTGAACACCTCATTTTGCATGAGTATGAATTCTTAGAAATGAGATGGTGGGTTCGAAGGTAAATGCATTTTAATTATCATAGATATTGCCACTTGCCCCTCACAAGGATTGCATAATTTTGTGACCGTATCTGTCTTTCCATAGCCAATAAAGTACATTAACAAACATTTAGACTCTTACCAATCTGCGAAGTTAAAAATAAAAAGTCATCGTAGTTTAATTTATATTTCTGTAACTTTAAGTAAGGTTGAGCATCACTGCATCTGTTTATAGGCCATTTGTATCTCTTTTTTGGTGAACTATCAGTTCGTCTGACCTGCTTCTTCATAGCTATATGAACTTGGGCCATTTCTATTCCCTAAATCTCAGCCTTTTCTCCTGTAAAATGGGCATAATGACAACAGCACAGGTCCGAGAGTTTTTGCAAAGATTAAATGGAATAAACAAACACAGCTTAGTAAAGTGCCTGGCACATGGCAAATGCTCCATAAACTGGTATGGCCATTATTTGTTCTAACTCCCTTGTCATTCAATTCCCTTTGTTCTTCCCCCATCTCCTGTTACCACTGAAAAATAACAGAAATAATTTTTGGAAGGCTTACCACCTAGAGCACGGTATTAGGAGGTACATATAGCATCTCACAGAATCTTTACAAGAATCCTAGGAAGTATTCTCAGAAGAAAAATGAAGGTTCACACTGGTGAAGTTTCTCATCCAAGGTCATGCAGCTGGTAGAAAGCAGAGCTGAGATTCTAACTCGGGACTGTCTGATTCCTAAGTCTCTACTTTTTCTCTTATGTCATGCTTTCTTAAGTATGAGGAATCAGAAGGAAATGATATTACCTCTGGAGTATCACTGGACATACTTACAGGGGTGTTTCTGTATTTTCCAAGGCTAGTAAATCCACCTGTGGATGAAGACTGGGGTTCAAGTTGTTTGTTACAACAGGACTTGGAGAGCTGAAATCTAGAACACAAAATGGACTTATTTGGTTTTAAAACATTTTGTCATTCAGTTGTTCTGTTTGATTCTCCACAATAAAAACAACAAAAACAAAACAGATATTTCTGCCACCATAAAATGATTTCCTCAAACAGAAATTATGAGACTGACGTGCTACCTACTGCGCTAACGAGGCACCTCCTCAAACAGAAATTAAAGGACATTATTAATGGTAACTGGAAAGAGAAATGCTGCCACAAAAAGAGGATGTTGTGAAGGTAACAAATGTTAATTATATCTGGTTTTCTGAAATCCCAAATTTATCTAGAATGGAAGGGATTCTGTGTGTCTTGTTCTCTCAAGCACAAAAGTAAAAAGCTAGGGCATATATGGAGCTCTACTCTCTCCTGCCCAAGCTCTCAACTTCCTATAATCCTAAGTGATACACCCCAAAGTAGGAAAGTCTCAAAGGTTGGGTGGCTAAAATGTGGCAGACAGGGGATTTCAACTTGGACTTCTACCTCAAAAACCTTGTTTTTTTCTCCACATTTCACCACCATGTAGATCAGTCCTCCTAATTCCTGACTTTCTCTATCTGCATCAAATATTCCCTTACCTAATGCTGTAGCATAGCAGAGAAACCCAAAGGTCATGTGTGGTTCAGAGTGGTTTTAAGTTTGGCCATGATGTTGAACCACCTCTATTAAAGCAGGCCAGGTGAATTCGATGAGATTCTAAGACAGGGGGATGAGTTTCAGGGATCCAACCCCCCTCCCCCCCAGATATATCCCATTGCTGGGTTTGACCCAACCATTTGCCAAGGAATAATTACATCTCCTGATACAGTTCTCTGATATTCAAATGGACTTCAGTCCTTCCCAGGTTGCATTTAATCATGAAACCAAGCAGAACTGTTTCACATCAAGCTCTTCTGCTGGTCTGAAAGGCCCATGTGCTTATTTACTTAAGTCTGAAAGCTGAGCATTTGTGGTGTTGAGTTCTCCCAGAGAGGCCCTAGGCATTGGAGGACTGAGCCTAAGGCCCAAGAGATCACAGGATGGGGCAGAAGGTTCACTGGCAGTCTGAAAACAAAGCAAACAAAAATACAATTCAGAAAAAATGTGTCAGGTAATTCATCATGGCTTTCTCCCCAGGGACTTTTTTTTTTTTTTGAGAAAGGAAAATCCTATTTGGATGCATCTCAAAGGAGAACACTGTTCAACAGGCAACACTCGTACTAATCACATCTCACCACCTACATGAGTTTCTACATAATCAGACAATATTCTTGTGACCTTAGTAACTTAATAACATCAAATTGTTAAGGCAAACACTCTACACCACCAAAACCACTCCAAATTTTTAATGGATGTCTCCTCTGTTTTAAGACTTGTTTTAGGTAAGCCTTATTCCCTACTGTACGATTTGTAAAATGTTCAATTGTTTTTTATAACATTTTTGTTCACTTACATTGGCATCTTCCCTCTGGTTCCTATTTTGCTCCAAAATCCTTTGTTGGTTCCGAGTGAATCTGTTTGAGAACAAAACTTAAGTATTTAAAAGAAAACAGATATGAAAATGCTATAATCCTTAAAAATTATTAACATGCGAATATTCTGGAAACAAAGACAATCAGCCTCATCCCCACTGACTCCCAAAAAAGTACTTTAATAAATTTTTCTTCCAAAAAAAAAATCTTTTTTTCCAGTTTATAGGGGTTGTAATGCCTTTAGAGAAAACTGTGAGAAAATACATATTAAAAACTAGTAATAGGGGTGCCTGGGTGGCTCAGGTGGTCGAGCATCTGACTCTTGCTTTCAGCTTGGGTCGTGATCTCAGGGTCATGAGAGCAAGCCCCACATCAGGCTCTGCATTGGGCATGGAGTCTACTTGAGGTTCTCTCTCTCTCCTCTGCCCTTCCCCCTACTCATGCACTTGTGCTCTCTCTCAAATAAATAAAATAAATTAAAAAATATGAGTAGTAGTTCCATCACCTAGAAATGGTCCCTATTAACATCATGATGTATTTCCTTTTGGTATCTTTTTCTGTAAATTAATCTATTTTAAAGCTTATTTTGCAATTATATTTCACATAGTTCTGTATCCTAATTCAATTATGTTGCGAGCATTTTTCCAGTTATTCAGAAATGCAATTTTTAGTGGCTGCATATTTTACCTTCTATGAATGTAGCATACATTTAACTTTTTTTTTTTTTTTTTTAACACATTTTACCTATCCATTTGAGAGAGCACGAGTGGGGGAAGAGGCAGAGGGAGAGGGAGAAACAGACCGCCCCCCACCCCAAGCTGAGCATGGAGCTGGACATGGGAGCTTGATCTCAAGACCCCGAGATCATGACCTGAGCCGAAGTCAGACGCTTAACCGACTGAGCCACCCAGGCGCCCCCACGTTTAACTATTCTTAATCTCAGATATTTAACTTGTTTCCAATCCTGCCATTATAAATAATGTTCCATAACAACTCCAATAAACATATTTTCAGCTTATCTTCATTTTTATGACACCCTTACAACTTAAATTTTACATTGCTTGTACATTGGGAATAAAAGAGGAACAGATGAGTAAATAAACAATAGGTTTGACCTCAATGAGATACCTCACACCAGTCAGAATGGCTAAAATTAACAAGTCAGGAAACGACAGATGTTGGCAGGGATGTGGAGAATGGGGAACCGTCCTACACTGCTGGTGGGAATACAAGCTGGTGCAACCACTCTGGAAAACAATATGGAGGTTCCTCAAAAAGTTGAAAATAGAGCTACCATACGATCCAGCAATTGCACTACTGGGGATTTATCCCAAAGATACAAATGTAGGGATCCAAAGGGGTATGTGCACCCTGATGTTGATAGCAGGAATGTCCACAATAGCCAAACTGTGGAAAGAGCCAAGATGTCCATCGATAGATGAATGGATAAAGAAGATGTGGTATATATATA